TGGCATATGAGCACTTTCCAAGCCTCTACAGACCTAAGCACTCAGTATTTTTAACTGATTCTTTGATAGGCTCATTCAGGTTAACCAGAGGTATGTTTTGGTTACCTTTCTAGTTAGCACATATTTTTTTTTTCAGATGCTGAAAATGGCCTCCAGAATAAAAACCTTCTCAAGCCCCCAACTTTCACTGAAATTAGTTCATACCAAGGGAAGTGTAATACAACTACATAATGTAAAAGAATACACAAATACATTTAAGTTACAATAGACTCTCAGAAAGAACCAGAAAATGACCCAACCTTCATTCTTTTTGCACTCCTCTGTAGATTGTTCATAAGTGTCGCTGTTCTCTTACAAGTTCATAGTACTGCTCCTGATGGCCCACTTATTGCAACTACAGAAATACTTCACCAAATCACTCCAATCTTGGTGGAGAACACCTCCCCTCATCAATGTGAGTCCAACGCACCAAAAATCATAGCAAATAGCCCAGCTGTTGTGGAGAAAGTTCAGACAGAACTTTGGCAAATCATATTTGTGTGTTTTGATGGAATTTCTCATGACCACCAACTTCACTGAAAATGGCAATAATAGCTTGCTTGGATCCATCTCTAATGGATCTTCAGGCTGAAGCTCCCAAGATTGTCAAGGAGCCCTTGTTATAGTACCCTCATATATTCAGTACAACATCTACTATTCCCTCTCACCCATTACATACACTGATCTTATATCATTCTCTGGCACTTGTATATTAACTAAGTAGTGCATATATACCCGATCCAATGTGCTTGTACTTATTCTATGCAACACATTTGTTTGGAGATACTTGGTAAATGAAGTATAAACAAACAAACACGGATTTGGAACAAGTCACATCCAAGGGGGTGGCAGAACGTGGATCCCACATATAGGGTTAGGGGGGGGGATCCGCTAGGGGGTCGAATTTTTTTTTGGGACCTACTGTATAAAGTCGTTCCAATTAGCCCAAATAACACTCACAAAGAAGTTGAAGTGTTCACATGTACACCAAATAGCTAATCTACAACTGAGAGCCAAGACAAACCTTTTGTAACGCCTGGATGCCGCATTCACACTGCATTCGGTATGTACTACCCCGTGTCCGGGCCCTTTCAGGCTGCAAGCACTCACAATCCATTTGGGCTTCTTAGCTCTGGCTGGGCGTCCCACTGTTCACTACCCCAATGTACAACAAACTCGGTAGTATGGGAAGTTGGAAGGGAGGGGCAATAAAAACGCAAGGCTAGCCATTGTTAGACTTGTATGGATATGGGAGTGAAGCGTCGTCGCGTGTAGAAACTCAAAAATGTGAGATGTTTTTAACATAGGAACTTGAAAAATATATGTTTTCAACATAGGAACTTGGAAATTTTCCTTTTTTGGGGGGGTAAAGGAGGGGGGGTATGTCGAAGGTGCTCTAATTTTTTTTGGGACTGTATATGCAAAATCCACATTCCGTCACCCCCTTGGTCACATCATAACTGCTTGAAGGTTTCAGAATGTTCTGATACCTTCTGTAGGGATCTAGAATTACTGAAAGGTGTACTTAAACATGTCTGTAAGGTAGAATAATGATACTCTCTTTTTACCCATAAAACCTTGTGTGAACTTACTAAGACTAAGTCCAACTTGAACTACTAAGTGTTGGAATTTCAAGCGCATCATGCTCATGGGAGCAATGATTGTGTTGTTCCATAGTTTCCCCTTCATCATTCCATACATCATTTTGCCCTTCAGGTGACCACGTTTATTTCAAATTGTAGTATGTATTTAGGTAGTCAGCTGTAATCTGAAGACCTCGCGTGTTTGCGAGGGTCCCTATTCAACCTGAGTGTTCACGACGACCTGAATATTTCAACACTAAGTACTTGATAAGGCTGCGTGCTATCAACTACTTATATCTGAAGCGTTAACGTCTTAAGTACTAACGTCTCCAATACAGGTTGTCTCATCAACAGATAAGCATACCCAACGTTAAATGTAGAATCTATGAACTTGCGTCCAAGATTCACATGACCCAAGGTATTCAATCACGTGCTTGACTCAATCTTCCATCTCATTACAGATCAATCTCCAGTAAGTCTTACTATCTAAGTTGCTAACTTTCGTGTATTCGCAGGAATACACCAATGTTCGAGTCAAGGAACTCTAACAGCCCTTCTGCCTTCCTCTTGCTATTGATCAGACTGGTGCATCTGAGGCCACCACTATTGATGTCAAGTCACTGATTTGTTCAATGACAAGAATGTGCTGCCCCCTCAAAGTTCTTAATAGCCTCCACCTTGTAGATACTTTATTACTCTAATACATTGGTCCTGCATTGACAGCAGCAGTGATCTGCTCAAGCATGAATTCATTTCTTTTTTAAATAATCTGGACAAATTTTCTGGAATTCAAATGTGAACATTGGTATGGGTCACAGCTAGTGTTTGTGAACTATTCATGGTGATTCAATTTTATAGGCTTCAAGCATATTATAGTGACCCAGCCTGCAAGCCAACCACAATTTCTACTACCTAGATGTACATACACATTTTTCTAGAGAATACTGAACAGTAGTGTTTGGAAGTCCGGTCTCGTGACTGGAAAAAGACCGTAACCAGACTGGACCAAGACCGCAAAAGACCAGACCTGCAGTTATGGTCTTTTATTTTTGAAATGTAAAAACCGCAAAAAAACCGGTTAACGTGAACCGGTCTTTTGTAGCCCCTTATATACCCTTTAAAACGCACCCAAGAACGTACGATTTGGTAAAAAAACGAGAGAGATATGAATTAAAATGTAAATTACTTTTGGGAATAATAGATGTACCAGACTTATTTTATAGAAGCACCAATTTCTAACGGAATTTAACGTTCTCGGGCTCGTTTTGAAGCTATTAGAGATGTTAATAAATTTACCAATTCATAATTTTAAAATATTGGCCTAAAGACCGGTCATAAACCGGTTAAAACCGATGCAGACCGAAACTGGTCTATAGACTGCAAAAAACCGCGGTCTGTGGTCTTTTTGCGGTCTGGCCTGGTCTTTTGACTTCTGGGGAAAAGGCAGACCGGTTACGGTTATGGTTAACGCCCCTGAGCATCAAAAAACCGGACCGAACCGGACTTTCAAACACTACTGAACAGGGCTTGTCTATTGATCCTCATGATTGTTGCAATTGTACTTAGTGTCACAATCTTCTACAAATAAAATAGTAAAATTCACATTTTGTACAGGTGGATTGTTACACTCTTGTTGCATTTAAGTAAGTATGACTTTTTGGATGATTACATATATTTATTTGAGGCCTGGCTGTTGGCTCCATATGCTAGGGCAGGTGGAGAAGCAGCTAGGAGTGCAAGGGTGGGGAGGATGGAGAAGTGGGGAGTATGAGAATAGGGAGAGACAAAGATGTGTTGGTCCAGATGAGGAGGCAGAGGGTTATTGAGAGGGGGGTTGATCAATGATGTGTGGGCTGTTGCTGCTGAGTTTGAGTTGGAGGCTGTTGGGTGGCAGGGGGAGGTGAGGATGGGGAGAGAGGCTGAGGAGAGGGAGAGGTTGAAGGTTGCTTCTGTTGAAGCAAGGAATACTGGCAAGCTGAGAACAAAGAGGGTGAGGAGGTGATGATGCAGGTATATATTCTGATGTTGCACAAACTATGTAGAATATGATAATAGTGATCTTGCCAGAGATGAAGAGGATCCAAATGCAATGCATGAATGAATGAGAGAGCGATAACAATAAAAAAAACAAAGAAAAAGAAAAAAGCAAAATTCATTCAACCAAGACCCAAGAACAACATCCAACCCTCCCCATCTGGATTAGGCTCCAACCCCCTAAACATAACCTGCTGCCCAAGGTAATCCACCCTCTTCATTGGGTCCTGCCGACCCTGTTGTCCCCTCTGCACCCCCTCCGCCCTCAACCTCCTCGCATATGCCTCATCAGCCTGCACCTTCCTAGTCCCACTCCACCTCTCCCGCTCATCCGCCCCAACATACCTATGAAAACTCTCATAAAGCACCTCAAACACATCAACGCACTTGACGCCTCTATGGTTAATCACCATAACGGGCCACGGGAAATGGGGAGCCGAGTCGTCCGCCAGTCCGTTGATGTAGAAATGGGTTACGAAGGGGAAGGTGGCGGGTTGGTGGAGGTCCGCGAGGGTGAGTGGGATGCAGGATTCGGTGTGCCCGTAGGTGATGGATGTTGTTGGTGTGTGGGCGATGGACCAGGAGAGGCGGGGTGGGCCTGTGAGGAGATGTACCATGAAGGGGTTTAGTTGGCATTCCCAGGGGAAGGGGAGGGGTTGGCCGGGGATGGGGTCGGTCCACCGGGATGGGCGCGGTGGGAGGGCTGGGTGGACTAGGCCTGGGATCCAGCGTTCGGGGTGGGGTGTTCCCCTGGGAGAGCGGAGGGAGTGGAAGATTTCGTCGGGGTCGATTGTGGGTGGGAGGCGGGTGTTTGGGGAGAGTGCTATAAGGAACGGGTTAGTGGGAAGGGCGGCGGGAGGGGAGAAGGGAGAGACATGCGTGAATTTCGAACTTCGACGCCATTGAGTGTTGGTCGGGAATAGTATCCCCGCGCTTTCCATTCATGTGGTTGTACGCGGGGAGGGCGTTCCTCTTCTTCTCTTTCTTGCTCTGGCGGTGGGTCGTTCGGAATGGGTGCCGGTGCTGGTCGAACTATCCAAATAATCGCAAAGTCAAAAGTCGACGCGCAAGACGGATAGATAGAGAACACTAACAAAACCACCGCTTGACCGCCCTCCAAATCGAGCCGTGCGCACGCCCACTATTGTTCCTCGTCTCCCGTGGCTCTGATACCCGTCTGTCATTCGTCATTGGCGAGACCCCACTGGACGCCCCACTTGACACGGGTGAAACACCACTTGACATGGGTGAAATTTTGCTACCCATCGACCTGCTACCACTCGGCGTCGAAACTCCACCAGCACCCCTTACCCTCCCCTCCCTGTCCTTCTCCAAAAAAACAGGCACGACGGGCAAAACAGGCATCGTCGCATCCCCAGCCATTTCTGGACTTGGGCTTTGTACCCAGCTGGAGTCGTTGAGATCGTTGACGCGTCGGTAGATACCGCCGTGTTGAAGCCATGGATCCCTTTGTCTGGGCATTGATTGAGGAGGGGGATTGGTTGGTGCCAGTGCGAGAAGATGCGAGATCCGAGCGAGAGAAGAAGAGATGCGATCAAGAGAAGAGGAGAAAAGAAAACGTGCAGTGGAAGTGAGGCGCACAGCGCCCCAGACCTATGCAGATATCCAAGTACAGGATACCACAAAATGCGGTGTCAACCACAGCACGTAACAAGTCGGTCAGAGTAACAAGGACGCCTTTTGCTAAGAATCAACGAGCAAGAACAAGACATTGGAAACGAGCAAGAACAAGCCATTGAAGAAACATGAGGCTTTTCGGCGAATTCCGTATCGATGGCACAAGGAGGTGTGCTCTTCTTTCCGAGTTTTCTCCTCAATTCAACTCTTCTTGGTAGATGAATTAAAAGAGTTGGGTGAAGGGAGAAGCGGGTGAGTAGTAAGAATTCAAAAGAGTTATCAATACGTGTACACTTTAAGGCGAGTTACATAAGGAGGTGCAATATATTGGCAGAAGAAACTCGGAGGACGTTCAGGACTATCTAAGTAATCATAATAGGTCCGGATAAGACTAGTAAGAAACGTTGTCAACTTGTGAGTACATAACGAGTTGTCAGTGCACTACAGTACTTAGTCCTCCACAATAGAACTTCCGCGTGAGGAGAACATCCCTTTCCTCCCCAGCCAACCAAGTTTTGTGTGTGCGACGGATCGGCGTTTTGAGTGGGCGTAACATTGAAAAGTACCGCGTCTAGTACACCTCGAGGAGGGACCCACATCCAAGTGAGGTCTCGCCCGAAAACGGTGCCTCAATGAGATGATGGTTCGAAAAGTCAAAATGATCTCGATGCATTCTAGAGAGGGTCAGCTTTGAATGACGGACGCAACAACTAGGGAGGACGGGAACTTGTCTGAGGGAGGAATAACTCAGTGGGGCCCCGGTTTGAGAGGATCTTTGCGCATCCGAACTGTGTACCTCGGTGGTCTCGGTCATTGCAACAAGTTGACTTCAAGGGTAGGAGTCTCCAAGTGTTATTCTTTGGACCGCAAAGTCCAGTGGGTTCATAGACGATAGAACGAATTTCCGATCAAACGGCCCAAGACTCGGAGGATGGAACAGAAGCTCAGCCCCATCTCAACACCCACAACTTGAACAGCGCATACAAGGAGCCGATTCAGGAACGCTTGCTCCAAGGCTAAGACAAAGTAAACGTAGCCTAAACCTTAGATTTTGAAGGGTCTGAACACAATGGTGGACACACAGAACTGAGCCAAGAACTCACGCGTACGTGCAGAGTGGAGTGTTGGACCCACAGAAGCTAGCTTGGTCACAGTTTGGCACCCACAAGCTGAAAACGAAGATGAAGGTGATGGGCGCGCGCAAAAGCAGGGTAAGCATCCAAGTACTTAGACTAGGAAAGAAAGAAAGAAGACGTCTCAATAAGGGAGCGGAAAAAGTACTAACTGAGTTACCAACTCACGTGCCAGTGCTGAGTCAACGCCCGCCAACTCCTTCAACTTGTAGCTTGAAAATCTTCACGCGTATCGGAGTCCGGGTCCGACAACTGTTGATGTGAAAAGCCGTACTACCAGGGACTGACGGTGATCATGAAGTCAACACCATGGGATCCATGTTCGAGTTCCGAAAGTGACGATCATAATCGCACCACGCAAATAGGTCCGTCCTTACTATGCCTGGCTCGTTGACAGTTGGTGCATGATTGTGTACCCCGATCGGAGAGGAGGCTATTAGACGATTGGATGTAGTCCCGAGTCTGACCAGATTGGTGCATGGAAGTCGCGAGTGATGGCGAAAATGAACTCGTTTGGACTTGATCGTTTCGCTGGCAGCAGGTAAGCACAATGTCCGGCAGGTCGAACAAGCCAGACCACGAAAGCATGCAGTTCGTCAGAGGATACAGAGCGCGCACCCGGAGGGCAGGGTATATGATGCAGAAGCGCCTGAAGAGTCATTTCTCGTGTCCGACATTTTGAATTGTGGGCACGGAATGGAGCCTTTGACATAGGCATCCACAACAACTCATGCGCATCCCTGGAGGTGAATCCAGATGATCTTCAAGCGTAGCAGGAAGATTCAAAGCGGACGCTCAAGCAAGTAGTCGAGCCTGCCTACATCCCGCACGATCTGGCACGCTATATCGAGATCAGCCTGCTGTCTGGATGAAGGATGCCTGGCCCAACACTCGATTCCTAGCCACAACCACGGGTAAGGGGTCTATGAAAAGCGACGATGAGCCTGGCTGAATCTAATGTAGGCCGATATCGAGATCAACCTGTCTGGATGAAGCAAGAGGGATCCAGGAGGTGATTTCAGTGCCAGGTCTGCGGCTACGTAATCGTTTGAGGGGCAGGTGGATGAGCGAGGTTTGTCGCCGACCAAATATTGAAACCCCAGGGATGAGTTGAGTGCCGGAATGCAAATACACCTGGTAGGAAACTCGTGTCCAAATTGCGTGTTACACCCTGGAGGAAGCGTAGAAGAGTTGATGAATCATGAGATGACCACATTCTTCCCAACGGTTGAGTCGGATACGTTCTCTGAGTTTTATCGGAGAAGGGATAACGACTCAGATGCACCTACAGAGCTCTGAGGGAGCTCGGGACCGAGGAAAGACTTTGTGCTGGGGCTGCGCAAAGAGATGGTTTGATGGAGTTCGAGCGGCATATTGAAAAACGTCGGCTGCTCAGCTTCTGGCAAGATTTCTGAATGTCTGAGCCTGAATCAGATTCTAAGTACAGTAAGTATGTTGACGTAGATTTGGTTGAGCATTCGTTATATACCGCTGCCTATTACAGTGGGGCATGTTGTCCACGAATCAACCACGAATCGAACTCAATAGGCGGACTGGCGTCAAACCGACACACTTGGGCGTGCCATTTCCGGAGCTATGTAGTGTGGAAGCCTCGTATGGTGTAGCCTGAGTGTGAAAAAAAGAAGATCAGAGGTCAACCTCATTCGTCAGGAAACACAGAGCGCACCCGGAGGGCAGCACTGCTGCAGGGTGTTTGATGAATAAGCACATGAAGTGGCTTTGCAACATTTGAATCGAGGGTCCGGAATGGAGCCTTTGAGATAGGCACCCGCAACAACTGATGCGCATGCCTAGTGGTGAAAAAAGTTGATCTTCAAGCGTAAGATTGGAAGCGGACACGACAGGGGCCACACATGTAGGTCCGAACGGATCTGGCTAGATCTCGCACGATCTCGCCTGCTTCGACGTCAAGATCAACTTGTTGTCTGGATGAAGAAAGTCTGGCCCGACACTCGATTCCTACTAGTAGCCATATCCACGGGTGAAGGGTCTATGAAGAGCGACGATGAACCTGGCTGAATCTAATGTAGGCCGATATCGAGATTAACCTGTCTGGATGAAGAAAGAGAGATCGAAAGGGTAATTTTGGTTCAGAAGAGTGGAAGAGATGACCGAACGGTTGAGTAGCCACGAAGCATCTATAGAGCTCTCTTTGAGGTGCTCGGGGCTGGAGCTCCGAAATGAGGTGATCTTCGTGTATCCCAAGAGGTTGAACCGCACCGTCTCAACTTGTTCGAGCTTAATAAAGCCCACATTGACGGAAGCTGCACTTCGTGTACCGAAGTGCAAGATGTCGCTCTTAAAACGAGCGAACCACGCGAGACTCGTCTGAAAAGACAAACACAGAAAGTCCATCCCCACACGAATTTGATTGTGGCACGCTCGTAAAAAGTCAAAATAGCCTAACCCTGAGAGAGAAAGTGTCTCAATATGGCGCCGAATAGGACGGACGTTGACAAAAGTAAGCTTGAGAAGAAGCGTCTCAACACAGGCTGGGAATAACTGAGGCATCAACTCACCAGCAACGCCAGTGGACTTGGACTTAAATCTTCGTCCGTGTCGGAATCCGTGCACGACGAAGTTGGAACACTAGATGCAGAACTCAAACAAAAGACACCATTGCTTCGCGGGAAGATGAAGCTCGGGAGGAGTGCCACTGACGTTTGAGCTGGGCATGATCGCGATCCACCTGAACGCATATAGGAAACGGGGCCCACGTCAGTGGCCATCTGATGTCGAGCATTGAAGCCACGCGATCACGTTGACCTCATAGCGAGTTCCATATATATGTATCATTGTATACAGCTTTCTAAACTTTTTATACTACTATCTATCCAGCTAACAATAAACCCAGAGAATGTCTGGGACCGGAGCGAAGCCCAAGGCTCAGCCTCCACCTCAAAAAGGTAAAGTGGCGGCCAATCGACAAAATCGAACGGCCGAGCCAGAAGTACAGGAACGAGGGAAGACAAGAGCTACGGGGGCGGTGGACTTAGACGAAGACGAACAAGAAATAGGCGACTCAGAAAAAGGGAGGTCTTACCTCGAAGAAAAATTGCTCCTCGTCCCATCGGGCGCTCCGCTCACTCTGGGAACGCTCGCTACGACACTACACCAGATTGCGGCCTTGCCGGGGGTCACCCTCCCTGTAATCAACGCAGTCCGCGCGGTCGCTTTCCTGCTGAGGGAAGTCGAGCTAGGGGCAGTAGCAGAAGACATCAGGGACATCGCCAACGCACAGTTTAACGATATGACCACGGATTTGAGGGAGTTCACGGAGGGGCTCAGGGTGAAAGTCATGGAGGAGCTGGAGAAGAAGACGGAGGTGTTGAAAGAGAGAACAGTGGAACTGGCAGAGGTGGTCGAAAAGGCGGCACAACAGGCGGGGAACGCAGCCAACTCCCCGTACAGGGACGCGCTGCACAGGGGACTCTCTGGGGCGCCGATGGATGCTAACCCCCGTCTAGCTGCAAAGGAAAACATCAGACAACGCCAATCGCTAGTCGACATACCACAAGAATCCAGCCTCAGAAATTGTGCTAACCTAGTCCTGGTGGGCAAATTCTCCGAGGCGATGGGTAAGGCGACAGAGCAAAAACACAAGGTCAGGTCGGCACTAAAGCTTCAAAACGGCGGGATCTTGGTCGAAATGGCTCACATATGTTAGTCATCATGTCCCATACCTAATGTAGTAACTGGATGTGACAATCACTCATGTAACATGAGCCCAGCCGGACCGGCCGGTTTTCTAAACTGTCCCTTAGTGATTGGTACAGCCGTGATCGTTACAATCACCCATCAGCTTGAGGCAGCCGTACTTCTCCCTGACGGTGACTCCTGCGGAGCATGCACATCATCGTCCGACGGCGCGGGTTGCGGCCCACCTTGGGCAAAATGCAGAGCACCTTGTAAATATACTATAAAGATTTTACATAATAATAGGGCCACAGAAGCCAGTCAAACACCATGAGGACTGTCATGGGGAGGATGCATATCATCGTCTGCCGGCTCAAAGTGTGGGGCACCTTGTAAATGTACTACAATGCTTCCACATAACAATAAGGTTGCAGAAGTCAGTTAAACACCATGAATGTGACCCATTGCAGACCTACATGTACTTTTAACAATTCTTTTGGAACCCAAGCAGCCTCCATTAGCTATTGTATATATTATGGGTCCCACAAATACAGCTGAATATGATACACCAGCAGAGGACCTTCCAATAAAAACACATTACTTTTGCATGGGGGACACCTTTTTCTAATAGCTGTGTTGGTCTAGAGCAATATATATATATACTATGAAGCCCCATTAGAGCAGTGCAATTTTTTTTTTACAAAGACTCCGGCAGAGTAATGCAATTCTTTCAGAGAAGACCCCGGCGGAGCAATGCAATTTTTTTAGAGAAGACCCCGGCAGAGCAATGCAATTTTTTTAGAGAAGACCCCGGCGGAGCAATGCAATTTTTTAAAAACAACTTCGGCAGAGCAATGCAATTTTAAAAAAAAAAGAGCCTGGTGGCCCAACACAATTTTTTAAGAAACAACTCCAGCAGAGCAATGTATATCAAAGAGAACTAAGGAAAATAATGACCAAAGTATATCTTAATAACTCAATCAATGAGGAGAGTGTCTACTGCTAACATAAAAGAATTTTACTAATGAAGGGTGATGAGGTAAATTATCTGTGGACCTACATACATGTATCTCAAAGAGACTCTGGTGGAGAAATGCAACTTTTGTTAAATTGGTTCTATTGGGGCAATGTATATGAGAAGGGAACTTGAATGTAAACAATGTTTTTACTGGAGCAAAATATCTTCTAAATGGCTCTGCTGGAGCAACATATATTTTTTTTCAATAGCTCTGCTGGAGTTATGTATTTCTTTTAAAAATGGCTCCACTCCAGCAATATTTTTTTTAGGTAGTTCTGTTTGAGTAGGCTCTGCTGGAGCAGTGCAATTTCTTATAACAATGGTGCCGCCAGAGCAAAGCATTTTCTTTTCATGGCTCTGCCGAAGCAGTGCAATTTCTTCTAAAGATAGCTCTGGCAGAGTAGTGTATTTTTTTTTTCAATTGGCTCCACTGGAGCAATATATATATTTTTGAATGGCTCCGCCGGAGCAGTGCAATTTCTTCTAAAGATAGCTCCGCCGGAGCAGTGTATTTTTTTCAAAATGGCTCTGCCGGAGCAGTGCGATTACTAATGATAGCTCTAGCAGAGCAGGGTATTTTTTTTTTTTCAATGGCTCTGCCAGAGTAATGCATTTTCTTAAAAACAGCTCCACTGGAGCAATGCAGCATTTTGGACAATGGCTCCACTGCAATGTAATTTTTTTAAATGCCTCTGGTGGAGAAGTGCAATTTGTTTCAAAATAGCTCCGCTTGGGCAGTAAAACTTTTATAAAGTTGCTCCGGCGGAGTAGTGATTACTTTTTGAGATACAATCCGCACGATGTAACAATGACTCTTAACTCACATAAAAACCATCTCTGTCAAGCTGGAGAAGGCAGAATTCGAATGAGCTAGGCCCAACAATAAGTTGTTCAGGAGAAAGATAAGTCTTGATGGTTTTACTGTAAAATGTACCATTTCACACTTTGTTTGAGCTCCACAAAATTTAATAATGAGTTTCAACCCACGTAGAAACCACCTTTAAAAAGCTTGGAAAAGCATGATTCCAACAAGCTATGCCCGACGATAAGTTGTTTGGGGAAGAGAGAAGTCTTGACGGTTTTATTGTAAAATATAGCATTTCACACATTGTTTGAGCTCCACAAAATGTAATAATGAGCTTCAACCCATATAAGAACCACCTTTGAAAAGCTTGGAAAAGCACGATTCCAACAAGCTAGGCCCGATGATAAGTTGTTCAGAAGGAAAAAAAAGTCTTGATGATTTTCATTGCAATGCCATAATGCAGTCAAGATTTGATAGAGATTATTGACATAAAACACCTTTTCCTATGTTTGTCTATGAAAACAAAACATCTCTTAAAGATTTTTACATAGTAATTAACATGGCAGCTATGTCTATCAACTGGCTGGTTTGGAGGTTATATGGCTTGAAAATGGGTGAGTGTGTTGCTATTCGTCGGGATGCAGGGTCTGTTTGCATCCGGCGGAGGGTCTGTGCACGAGGCGCATCACCTCAATTTGGAATGACCCAGGCACAGATTTCAACTTTGATGGGTCCCTGCCCAGGAACAAGCAGCATAACCGGACCATCCCTGTTGCGGCAATGCCTTTTCACAGTATGTGGCCCTGCATGATGAATACTTGGTTACCTCTGGCTATCAGCAACAGAGCTCATATTGTCTGAATGACCATTAGATTTGTGGTGTTTTAGGAGGTAATGTGCAGTGCTTGGCTTGGCAGAGGATAAAAATTTGGCAGAGGTTGATGGCAGGTTGGTTCTGTGGAGTGTGATAAAAGAGTTAGATCACCGGCGGAGAAATGTTTGTTGGTGGGTTGCCCTTGCGGTGTACTTAATTACCTACATGTCTGAAGCTCATTCAGATAGGCCATTATATTTGTGAAGGCAATGTGTGGTGGCTGGTCCTATTGGATATTATAAAAAGAAATTACATCACCGGAGGGGTAATATTTGTGGAAGGATTGCCCTGCTGGTGTAGTTAAATATCTTTTTGAAGTGAATGTGTGAAACTCATTGTAACAGGCCATTATACAAATTTTGCTATGTTTTTGGAGGCAATGTGTGGTGACTGCTCCTACATGGTGGTCCATCGGAGTATTGTAAAAAGAATTACATCATTGACAGAGCGATATTTGCAGAAGGATTGCCCTGCCGATGAACTTAATTTATTCTATTATAAAATTTTTGTTATGTTTTCGGAGGCAACGTGCAGTAGGCTGGTCCTGCATGGTGGTCCGGCGGAGCATCACAAAAAAATTACATCACCAATGGAATAATATTTGCCAAAGGATTGCCTTGCTGATTTACTTAAATAGCTTTGTGTTTTTGTGGTACTCCACTTTTAATGCCTCAAAAAGAAAAGTACTACTCCGCCGGAGTCATTGAAAAAAATACATTGAATCATTTTGCACTTCTCTGCCAGAGTCTTTTTTAAAAAAACAGCACTTCTTCGATGGAGCTTCATGATATATATATATATTGCTCTAGACCTCCAGCAAAGCTATTAAAAAGAAGGAATTTCATTTTTAAATTGAAGTCACAAAAGAAATTTCCATTGCTCCACCTAAGCATTTCAAATTTCTTTTATGCTACCAGCAGATACTCTCCTCATTGATTGAAACACTTTGGTTATCATTTTCATTAGTTCCCTTTAATATACATTGCTCTGCCGGAGTTGTCAAAAAAAATATTGCATTGCTCCGCCAGCATTGTCAAAAAAATATTGCATTGCTCCGTCGGAGTTGTTTAAAAAAATATTGCATTGCTCCGCCGGAGTTGTCAAAAAAAATATTGCATTGCTCCGCCGGCATTGTCAAAAAAATATTGCATTGCTCCGTCGGAGTTGTTTTAAAAAATATTGCATTGCTCCGCCGGCGTTGTTAAAAAAATATTGCATTGCTCCGCCAGCGTTGTCAAAAAATATTCCATTGCTCCAGCGGGGCCTTCTTTTACAAATATTGCATTGCTCCACCGGAGTCATTATAAAATATTGCATTGCTCTGCTGGGGTTGTCTTTAAGAAAGATTGCATTACTCCACCCAGGCCTTAAATACCTTTGCAGATTGAATGTGTGGAGCCTCTTCTGACAGATCAATCCAGTATTTGTCATTTATGCAGAGGCAATGTGTGGTGTTTAGTCCAGTGGAGTGTCTTACAGAAATTTCATGTCACTGGTGGAGTGGTCCGGCGGAGTATCATAAAAAAATTACATCACCAAGTGGTGAAACATTTGCCTCACTGGTTGAACTAAGCACTTTTGGCAAAGGAATGCATGAAGCCTCTCCTCACAGAACATTATGAAAATGTTATCATTTCTTTTGGAGGCAATGTGCAGTGCTTAGTAGCTCCAATGAAATCATAGCAAACAACATACATAGATTGACAATATTATGTATGATTTGTATGAGCCAGGCTTGTAATTCTAAGTGTTCATTATGATCATCGCCGCTGGTGCAATATTTAGCCCCGGCGGAGGGCAGCTCCGCAGTAGGATATGGCAGTCAAGGTACACCCAGCTACTCCAATCATATGGGCCATTGTTGCTGACGGCCAGCCCATGGTTACTGGGTGATTGTACAGGGTCTGGCCGCCCCTTTCATATTGGGGCCCCACCATCAAACGGGCCGGGCCGGCTGGGCCCTTACCACATGGTTGATTGTCAGGGCCGGGTGGCCCATCACTATTGGGCCATGATGACTAACATAACTGAATGGCTATGGACGAAGGCGCGACATGGTTAGCTTCCAAGGACAATGCAGAGGCCTTCCTGCGGGAATTGGGAGAAACTGAGGCCTCTTTCAAGAAGAGGTCATACAACGTCGTGGCCTACTATGTGCCGCTAACCCTCGACCCCGGCAGTGAGAAGGATAGAAGGGAGATAGAGGAATCGAACAACATACTGGAAGGCGGTCTGACGAAGATGAGGTGGATCAAGCCCCCGGCACGACGAAGGACGGACCAACGCTTCGCTCATGTCATCGCCACCTTTTCGGACGCGGACGCAGCCAATCGGGCAATAGTAAATGGACTGACGATCTGCAACAAGAGGGTATCAGTAGCAAAGAGCAAGAAAGAACCGGTACGGTGCCTCAAGTGTCAAGGCTGGGACCACATCACGTCAGAGTGTACCATCACGAATAAGGAGGTAAATGTATGCGGCACATGCGGGGGAAGGGATCACTGGACCAGTAAGTGCCCACAGCCAGGTGCTACTTTCTGCTCTTCTTGCAGGACGGGCGATCACACCAGCTGGGACCGCGGCTGCCCTACCTTCCTCAGAAAGATCGAAGACCTCAACGCCAGGGATCCAGCAAACGACTTACCGTTCTTCCCAGCGAAGGAATCATGGACGTGGTCACCGTCTTATCCAACGCAAGGACGTCGAGTCCCCCCGGCAGAGGTTCAGGTCAATCCGGCCCAGCCAGGTTCACAGAAGAACAGGTACAGGCAGACGCAGATCAATTTCGAGTATGCGGCTCCAGGTGGAAGACCGTACACCAAGGAGTCTCGGTCGAGTCAGCGCTCGACCCCCCCAGTAGCTAAGTCCCCCCCTCCTCATTTCCCCAATCCAGAATCTCCGATAGCCCCTCCTGTGTCGAGCAATGGTTTAACGCCCCCAGATAGTGCCCAACCTCTAACCATGCCCAATGTCTGAACAACCGCAACCATCACCAACAAGACTAAGGATACTTCAAATTAACCTCAACAAGTCATCAAGAGCGCACCTAGAATTGTACAACAGAGTATCGAAGAAGGAGTGGGATATAGTGCTGGTGCAGGAGCCGCACGTGACGGTGATGGGCAACATCAGGACGCCAAACGGTTTCGTCGCAGTGGCCCCAGTAGACCGATACAAGGACAAGGCACCAATGACAAGAGCGGTAACTTGGGTCAGCTCGGATCTCGCAACTAGCTCATGGAAAATACTCAACATGCCGGGAACCAACGACACTGTCACAATCCAGATGGCTGGCGCCTATGGACGACTAACTATCATCAACACCTATAACGACTGCAATCACTCAAGAACTTTATGTGTGGTCCGCGAGTTCTTACGCACAAACCGCGTGGAAGTTCTGTCAAGGGAGGACGACCATCTAATATGGGCTGGCGACTTCAACAGACATCATCCGATGTGGGACGACGACACGGACGACAGACTCTTCACGCCAAGAGCCATGCAAGACGCAGGAAAACTGATAGAAATGCTTGCAGACCTCAACCTGAAGATGGCCCTACCGAAGGGGCAACCGACACTGGAGCACCTAGTCACCAAGAAATACTCGCGCCCCGACAACTTTTGGTGTACGGAAGAGATATACGACCTACTAATCCGATGCGAGGTTGACCCTTCAATCAGGCCACCAGCGACCGACCACTTCCCAATAGCAACCTATATCGACCTACCACAAGAGCGCATCACATTCAAAACATCTTACAACTTCAGAGCTACGGACTGGGAGGACTTCCAAGAAAACCTGGCCATTCGACTACTCGACATTCCACTTCCACAGCCACTTACAACAAGGCGACAGTTTCAAGAAGCCGCGACAGATCTTACAGAAGCCATCCAAGACGTCATCCGAACCAGGGTCCCAGAGAACAAGCCATGCCTGTTCTTGAAGAGATGGTGGAACAGCGACCTTAGCCGGAAGAAGACAATGATGAAAAAGCTAAGTCGGCTCGCGTATAGATTCTGGGCACTCCCAGATCACATCTCGCACACAGAGTTACGGAAATCCAGGAACGAGTACGGGGAGGCCATCATGGAGGCCAAGCGCCGGCACTGGGAGGATTTCTTGGAAAATGCGGCTGAACAAGATCTGTGGACGGCAAATCGATACCTCAAGGAGCCCATTGGAGACGGAGGCAAGACACGCATTCCAACACTCAAGGTACCTGTCGAAGGGGGGGGCGGCCTCCTGCAGGAAATCAACACCAACGAAGGCAAGGCGAAGGTATTGGCGCAGATCTTCTTTCCCAAGAAACCAGAGCTCTCCAGGGTCCCAGAGAACCACGAGTACCCAGAACCGCTTCCTCCACCGCCAATCATCACCTCAGAGCAAATCACACGACAAATCAGGAGGTTGTCGCCCTTCAAGGCGTGCGGCCCAGACGAGATCCCTAATGTGGTCTTGCAGAAGTGTTTGGAGCAGCTGATCGACTATCTAACTCATCTTTTTAGAGGCGTCTTCGCTTTGAACACCTACTGCCCAGGGTGGCAGGTGTTTACCACGGCGGTACTCCGGAAACCAGGTAAACCGTGCTACGAGATACCAAAAGCCTACCGTCCAATAGCCCTTCTCTGCACGATACCCAAAGTACTAACAGCAATTGTCGCGGAGAACATCTCACACATGGTGGAAAAGGACGCCCTGCTGCCAGACACACACTTCGAAGGACGACCAGGCCGAACCACGACGGACGCCATTCACTACCTGGTAGGAAAGATCAAGTCAGCTTGGGGCAAAAAGAGGGTCGCATCGGTCCTTTTCCTGGACGTAGAGGGGGCCTTCCCAAACGCGGTCACCGACAGGCTCATACACAATCTCAAGAAGCGAAGAATACCAACCGTTTATGTCAAGTTCATCGAGCGGCTGCTGAAAGGACGTAAGACCAAGCTAAAGTTTGACGACTTTATTTCAGAGTTCATCGAAATCACAAACAGTATCGGACAAGGCGACCCGATCTCAATGCTACTCTACGTCATCTACAACACGGACCTGCTGGAGGCCTTACGACGGCTGAATGAAGACGCCATCGGTTACGTGGACGACGCCCTGGTGGTAGCTACGGCAAAGACATTCAAGGAAACGACACGAGCACTAAAGAGCTTTATGGAGAGAAGGGAAGGAGGCTTCGACTGGGCCAAGGACCACAACTCAAACTTCGAAATCAGCAAAGTGGCCGTGATGCACTGCCAGCCGCAAGCAAGGAAACCTGAAGATCGCCCAAATCCGGTACTCCGGCTGCAAGGGAGGGTTGTAGAAGAAGTTGGGAGCTACAAGTATTTGGGGGTGCACATCGATGCTCAGTTACGATGGAGAGTACAGGAGAATGGGGCTTTGGCAAAGGCTACGTCATATATCATGATGTTCCGTTGACTAACCTGCACTAACCTAGGTATCCGACCAAAGCTCATGCGACTACTGTATATCTCGGTGGCAGTTCCCAAGATGACTTACGCGCTGGATGTCTGGTTTGTGCCTCCGCACAAGAAGGAAGGCAAACGGAACAACAGCGGGTCAGTAAGGGCGCAAAAGGCAATGGGGAAGATACAGAGGATAGCAACGAGGGCAATCACAGGGGGCCTATGGACCTCACCGAACGACCTGCTGGATGCACATGCCGGGGTTCTTCCGGTGAACCTCATGCTCGAGCGCATATGTCACGCGGCTGTAGTCCGAACCGCGACCTTACCCGACAGCCACCCCCTTAGGGCCATGATACGAGGATATAGCAAGACCCCAGCAAAAACTCACCTTGCCCCTTTGCAGAAGTTGATAGAATGTTTCAAGATCAAGCCACGGCGCTTTGAAACAATCAGACCAGACCCACGGCCACCAACGTACAAGAGGGCCTTCACAGCAATGGTCGCAAGCTCTAAGGAAGAGTCGATAAAAGACGAGGCGAAGGACGACTCTGACATCAAGATTTACACCGATGGTTCAGGGTTCGAAGGAGGGGTAGGGGCAGCGGCGGTCCTCTACAGGAAAGGGGTTGAGGAGCCTGAAAGGATCTTACGTTTTCATTTAGGTTCACTGACGAAGCATACCACCTTCGAAGGAGAGGCGGTAGGCTCTATTCTTGCAGCATGGATGCTACAAGATCAACCAGAGGTAGGGAAGGCGACGATCACCAGTTACACAGACAGTCAGGCCTTCATAAAGGCGACAAACACGAGGAAACCGGGCCCAGGCCAATACCTAGTAATGGGTTACCTGGGCCTTACAGAGATTATGGGAGACGGAACTGACGTTCCAGGTCCCAACGATACTGACAAGTTTGCGCTCAAGTGGGTGGCGGCTCACACAGGGGTGAAGGGGAACGAAAGGGTGGATGAAGAAGCGAAGAAAGCGGCACAGGGCGACTCAAGCCCACGGGAGGAGCTGCCCCCAATACTTCGCAAGCGCTTGCCATATAGCGCATCAGCGGTGAAGCAGGAGTTTGGAGTGCAGCTGAAGGTCAGGTGGAAGAATGCATGGAAAGAGTCACCACGATACACCAGGTTCCAACATGTCGACAAGGACTTCCCCTTCAACAAGTTCCGGAAAATCAGCGAAAGGCTCTCCAGGCCCCAGGCGAGTTTACTAACACAAATACGAACCGGCCACATACCCCTCAATAGCTACCTCTATCGCATCAATAAATCGACCAACGGGCATTGCGCGTCATGCTGGAGTAGGGAGCGGCTGGAGATCACGGAGACGGTGGTGCATTTCCTGTTTGAGTGTCAGACGTACACGGCAGAGTGATATGATATGGATAGGGCGCTGGGTCGTCACTCGAGGGATCTCCGAGGAATCCTGGCAAGTTTGGACAGGGTCAAGGAACTGCTCAAATTCGTGGGGAGGACGGCCAGGCTCAAGACAACGCTTGGAGACACAATAGGTGATGTATCCCACTTAGAAACTGAGGAAGATTGATGGATAACGCACGCTTTCAGGAATCTTTACTACAGCACAGGTCTCAACAGAATAGCTGGCCCCAGCCAGCGGTAGTGTTTGAAAGTTAGGTTAGTTAACCGGAAAATAACCGGAAAATAACCGGACCTAACCGCAACACTAACCTAACCGCAGTTAGGGTTAGTTGATTTTGAAAATGGAATAACCGGTTATTTTGCGGTTAACTAACCGTTAAATAACCGGTTATAACCGGTTATAACCAGCCCTATTATACACCTTCAAAACGCACTTTAGAACGTCAAAAACGCTTAAAATTTGACTAAGTTACGGTCAAATCTCTAAAATATCACTCAAATGTGTAGACTTTCAAGGATAATTGCATAAATATGTCAATTCTTCACCGATTTTAGCGTTCTTGGGCTCGTTTTAAAGCTAGAATATGCAGAAATAATATCTATCAAGATACATATGAGCATATTTGCCTTGTTATAACCGATTCTTTATTTTTCGGTCCTAACCGGTTAGTAACTGCAAATAACCGACCATAACTGGTTAGTTGCGGTCCGGTTAGGTTATTTTAGGTTTCGGGACAAAGGCTAACCGGTCTCGGTCTCGGTTAGAGCCCCTGGGCACCCAATAACCGGACCTAACCGGACTTTCGAACACTAGCCAGCGGGCTCGCCCAAAACACCCCCCCTCTCTCTTCTACCCGCTTTTCAGTCTGCGGACCCCAAGCAGACGACCTTTTCTCTCAACAGCTACAAGGATAACGCCGAAAACACATGAAGACAGATACACGGAAACACCAAGACTTTTTGTCTTTCACCTGATCATGCTCGTCCCACCGACTGTGCCTGTCGCCTGGCGATCGGGTACTTAACAAGCCGAAACACTACTAAGATGGATTGCAAAGATAAGCAAGATGACGAGACTACCCTGCTCACTTATACAGATGTGTCCCAAAACGGCGTTTTCGTGCCGGGCTGGGTGGGGGAATGTTCGCTGTGGGCGTGCCCTCAACAGTGCATGGGGCAATCTCAAGGGGGTCAGGAATACATGGCATTAGGGGCCATAGGTAGTCTACAAAAGTTGTAAAGTCTGACATAGGGCCTCGCCCTAATGGACTCTAAATTTGACTCGAAAAAAAAAAAAAAAAAAAAATTGAACACTCAGTTGCTTAAAAATTGATCGCAAAATGAGACCGGCTGCCATTACAGTCTCCCGCAGATCCGACAACGCCCATCATACCCATCCCTGCATCATGATCTGCGGGGCGACAACGGAAAGCGAGGCGCAAAATGTTCCAAATACTGGTCACTCTATGGAAAGCAAAATCTAACAGGCGGACTTATGTGTGTTTGGTGCACTCATAGCATCTGTTATGGGTTTCACTGCATCCCAAATGGTGAAGGTCGCAATGATGTATTTTCTCCCATCATCACGCGCTGGGTGAAAGCACCAAAGCGAATCATTTACGACTTTGCCTGTGCCCTTGGGCCTTACTGCATGACACGTGAACCCCTTTTTTTTGCAGATACACTTTTCGCCGTTGATGACTTCCATGCAAAAGATCACACGAAGTGTTCATCAGCAGCCTTCCTCAGCTCATACTGCAATGTGGACCCTCGCTTGAAGAAGGTCAATTCAAGTGCAGCAGAGTGTGGTAATAGCGGCATCAAGAGAATACGCAAATCGGTGAGGTATATGAGCCAAGATCGTGCTATAATTTTTACGAAGGTATTCCTTTCGATCTGGAACAGACTGCGGATCCAAGGGCTAGAGCATGCAGCAGGCAAAAATATGGGAGGAAAAGTATAATGCCAAAAAAGACGAAACGTATGGTGGATATCCACAATCTCTTCAAATGTTGATACCTACAATTAAAATAAGATTCACTTGCATATTTTTCAAGTAGATAGTGGATGTCCACCGTCTACCGCAATTTTGCGTGTGACGGTGGATATTTACCGTCCAGTTCAAATTTGCGCCTGACGGTGGGTACCCACCATACCTGGCTATTTCTGAGTGGACGGTAAATATCCACCGTCACGCGCAAAATTTCTGAGTGGGTGGTAGATATATAACGTCACGCGCAAATTTGCGCGTGACGTGTGGATATTTACCATCCAGTCCAAATTCGCACCTGACGGTAGCTACCCACCATACCTGGCTATTTTTGAGTGGACGGTAGATATACACCGTCCACTGCAAATTTCCGCGTGATGGTGGATACACACTACATCCTCCTATTTTTCAGTGGACGGTAGATATCTACTGTCCAGTCCAACTTTCACCCAGCGGTGGGTTCCCACCATACTACCTGCCTATTGCGTGTCACCGTGATGGTAGACACCCACCGTATCTCCATTTTTTTTATAACTTCAAGTGGACAGTGGAACTTTGCTCAGCGGATAGCCACCGTATAAGTTATAGTCATCACTAATAGTAGTCCTGACTGATGCCTGCCGGCTGATATCAACTTGATCATAGAACAATGTATCACTTTTTCACTATACTACGTGCAAGGTAACCCGTTGATAAAGACCAAAAATACATTACAGGATCACATGTCGGTATGAGTCGCCGTATAAAGGGTTCCTGACTCCCTCCCAGAGATGAGATGAAGCACCAGACGAAGGACAACCACGTAGAGCAGCAAAAGCGGACGTCCTAGAAAATCGAAGTAGCAGAGATTCAAGGGAGTCTTTCGCGCGAACATGACGAATTGACAGAAGAGACGTGACTCGGGTCGTGATCAGCGCGTCGTGGGATAGTCATGTTTGTTCTTGACCATCATCATGCACGTCGACCAAGACATATTCAACACGTCGCACGCGGAGCTATCCCTTGGGTAAGCCTGTCATCGGCTTAACACCCTCAAGACCTCACAATATGATGACTTAGTCAAATATAGTGCCCCGTCTTCTGCCTGAGGGCATCTGATAGGGGGTTGGATAACTCTGAAGTGCGTTTGCTATTTATGCCGCCAGTTTCTTCTTCTGACCTTAGTTCTGTGAAGTCCTGCGCCGTGCTACTACGTGGTGGTTCAGTTGGTCCCTCAAATCTGGTCGCATCATCGTGCGGTTTCACCTCACGGACATGAGGTTCCTGTATCTACGGAACCCCAGAGCAGCCGCCATGTTTCACTCGCAATACCGAGCTCCAATCACTTGGGTTTCTCTATTCCTTCCAGCCCTATATATCCGATCTCAACTCGTGTTCGCCAATTCATGCTGTGGCATTGCTGCAGCGTTGGATAATTACCTAGGGAAGGCTTTGGCGATTCGGCTAGGACGACGTGCCACAGATTCGTGACGGCCAATCATCCTTGTACACCGCCCCCGTTGTGCAAGAAGAGGACCCACCACTGTCCTCTGTCAACACTCATCACTACCATCCACTTGCGAGGCTACGGTCGTCGACCACCCATCGGCGCTACCCAGGCTCATCGACCTTCTTCCAGCGCCCGTCACCACAGCTTTTGAACAAGGGGCCCAACGCCCATCATCTTCGACCGAACGGCAAGACGACTCACATGTTCCTCGATGAAGTGACTTACCCCCCTTCCGTCAGTCCGATGACTTTACAGGCTCTACACCAATAGACGTGGACGACCTCGCATTTTGGAAAAGGAAAGACGCACAATGGCCAACGTGCAGCGTGTTTGACATACTTCTTCACCTTCCACCGTCATTGTCCAGCACGTGGCAAATCAAGCTGTCCTTCGACCTAACTTTGGCTCGACTTTATGCGCCTTCACGCTCCGCGCAGGTGAGTGTCCTTTCCTCTCTTTAACCTCCTTCTACTGTCTCCATTTTGGCGCCTACCATGCCACTCCTTTCGCGGTCGTCTCCCACAAATCTTGGCGCCTCGTTCACTATTTCTTCGCTTTAATCTGCCTCAACTTGTCCTTCTCGTTCTCGTCTTTCGCGCCCTCCTGACTTCGACAAGCTGAACTCAACCACTTTCCCCAGCAGTTCACCCTTTCCCTCACTTTTACTCTCGAAGTCTTCGCCAGGACGGGCGAACCACTCCCTCGGGATCCTCTCTCATTGTCGTTCGGAGAGTCATACATGCCTTGAAATCGACCCAAATCATCCGCGATTTTGAAAGACGTCCGGCTCACTGAGCCCAGTTCCTTTTACGCGGAACATCCAAACGTCTCTGGGAGAGAGGCTGGAGGTTGGCTCGTTGGAAGGCACATGGAGTTTCCAGTGAGTATGTACCTCCTTCTCATGCTAGTCTTGTTGTTAATGAATCGACCGACAGCTAACTCTTGTATCATGTCTCAAGAGGATCTAACCCATTCTCTCCGAGCCCCAGTCCGGGTCGTCTTCTGCCGTTTACGCGCATACATTTCGGAGTATCGATTCCCTTTCGCAGCTTTGTCATGGATACACGCTGGAGCAGCTCCCCTCAAACTTCCTATACGCGAACTGCTCCACCTCACCCACTACCTGCACCTCAACACACCTCAAAACCTCGCTCATCACCCTCAACGTCCCAACCCTCTACGTCCACTCCTTGTCATTGTCGCCTTCTGCTAATTGTAGGCCCTCTGTCGATGCAGCAACTGCAAGGACCCAGAGTACGAGTTGCTCTTGTCTTCCGGATGAAGAAGCGTCAGCGACAATAGAAACCCATCACCGTCATTTTCCATATTGCCATCCACGCCTCGCCTTTGTCTTGTCGGATGAAACGTGCAGCGTCGTTCTCCATGCATACACACGCAGACATTCTACTAGGATTGCCGCCTAGGGACTCCCTCGCTTCGGAGTTCTCTCCCCCGTTTAGATTCAGCCTTTGTGGACATTCCACCATTCATTGAATGCCAATAACGCGACATACCCGGACGCAGACTCTGACTCTGAAGCACCCCTCTTTTCTCCCGCCCCCGACATCTCTATCCCCCGTTACCCCTTCCAGAACACCACACACTGGGCAAAGGCGAACGAACCACAACCCAACCTTCTCAACACTTCATCAATCACCAGATAAACCGTAATCCCACGACTATCCAAATTCACTCTCATAGCGTCCTTCCTTTGATCCACCAAACCTTCTGAGTGAATTCGAAAGGGGGTGGACGGGAAGAAGAAAAGGAAACGAGATGTGTCAGACATTCACGCTAGACAGGATGCTCGGTGTACTCGGTGCTCTTCTCGAGGAGAACATTGATATGGGCATACACCTCCAAACTTCCGAGTTTAGCATACCGGGGGAGGAGGCGGGTGTGGAGATGTCACGCGTCGCTGTGTACGCAGCGATAATACGAGCTGTTGATTGGTTGGATGGTCCGCCGACGTTTTGGGCTGCGGTGCGGTTAGCGAGGGAGTCGGATGTTAGTTTTAGGGATCTTTTTGGGAGGTCAAGTAGTTGCCTTGACTAGAGCGGACGCCGGTTTCTTAGCGCTGCTTGACATTGGGTTCAGTAGCCACATCGAAGGGACAGTTTACTTATGCACATATTTGTCGGAGCGATGTTTGAGAGCATTGAAATTTGACGTTGCCCTGCCACAGTGGCCAAAAACGGCAAGTCTTTTCCATGCACACGCAGCCACTGCGCCAATCGGATAAAAGGCTCACCGGACTAGTCTCGTTCCCATCCGTGAGTACGGTCCGCCGGACCGTCGGAGATTCAAAATACACGACAGAGCCTAGGGCTTGCCTGGCTCATTCAAATCAGATCTTAAATAGTAATGATAATAATGAAATCTGAAAGACGAGCAAGACCTGAGCGTCTGGGAAGCTCGATGTGCAAGGCAACCAGCTATACCAGACGCTGAGAGGGATGGTGGGTGGGTTCGAAAATTTTTACAGAAATTGAGGGCTCTTTTTGCCACGTCAGAACGATGAACTGAGGACAAGGAGAGTGCAGTCTCCTTGTCTAGGAATCGGAGACATGCACAGGTGTTTGTACTTATGAGTACAAATGCAAGATTTCGTTCTGACATGTTACCGTTATCTTATCCGATAATGAGCTTGCACTTGTTCCTCGTGCTTGCTCATCGCGGAATGAGATAACTGTAGCGTCTTATGAAATACAGGGAAAGAAGGAGTATTTAAATATAGGATACATTTAAATACAAGAAATCCGTGAGTGCGGATAACTTGTCTGTGCCTAGGGCTTGCCCGGCTCATTCAAATCAGATCTTAAATAGTAATGATAATAATGAAATCTGAAAGACGAGCAAGACCTGAGCGTCTGGGAAGCTCGATGTGCAAGGCAACCAGCTATACCAACCAGAGTGTAAGCTCACAACGAGCAGGTTGGTTCAGCACAGAGGAACTACCCAGTCAAGCGGCACTCTGGGAGAATTTCTTGTTCGAAATACAAATACATTTCAAGTTTCGATGAGTACAGCAGTAGCGATGTAGGAGGGATGTGTGGATCAAAATATAAGTACAAGGTAGATTGTAAAGATGAATATGGCAAGGTAGAAGGACGGATGAAGTATAAGTACAAGGTAGATGGTGAAGATGAAAGAGAATCACAAGGTGAGGTTCCCATCAGAGGCGACAATAAGCGCAGAAGGGATTTTGTTATGAATATGAAATTGTTCGAAGATTGCAGCCAACGAGTCAATGTGGGACTTGTTGTATGCTTTTGATGTGCTCATTGGAAGAATTTCTTCCATGCGACGCCAATAGAGCAAAAAGGTGAGAGAGGTCCAGCCACCTGTTGCAGCGACAATTTCGGGTGGTACGCCAGCAAGGAGAAGTTCAACAGCACCCCCGATGCGAAAGCTATGCCCGAGAACATGCGCAAGCATGGCAGATGACCAGATACCCATGCAGAAATTGAGAAATTCGTGTTTGAGAAGCATTTTTGATTGAGAGGAAGCAGTTGTATATGCGAAGAGGGGGGCTGACTCATCTGTGGATGAATTAACAGAGAGATGGTTCTTCAGAGCAGTGACTGGGCAAAGGATATCATTCCGTGCAGTAAGGATCACTGAGGCACCAAGTTCTTTGGTTGTCTTGGTCCAAGGAATGTGGAAGTTTGCAGAGGATGAACCGTCCTGCAATGTACGAAAGGTGATCCTGCAGAATATAAGAAGAGTAGAAAGGAGAGAAGGAAGGTAGCGCACATGACAGAGCGAAGAACATGATATTTTCCATCAAAGGCAGCAGCGGTAGTAACAGATAGCTCGCCCAGTCGTCGACAGCCAAAAAATGTACAGAGAGCAAGGGCCCAAACTGCAGCATGAAAGGGAGTGGAGAGATTGAGAACATGGTGGAGCACCAGCAGGTGTTCAATGGACACAGGTGCATGGAGAGGGCGTTTGTGCATTGTACCCTCTTTGTTCGCAGACACCCGGGCCAGCTGAACCCATTCATCATCACCAAACCAAGGGGCATGGTTGATGACATGCCATGCACGAATGCCAGAGAGCCAAGAACGTATGGTGTTCCCAGCCTGCCTACCCTTATGCTCACCAATAAAGGCACAAAGGAGAGGGTAAGAGGCAGGCATCCACTCTTCTTCGTCTATGTTCCATCTGTCACAAAATTGGGTGAAGCGGAGGGTGCCAGCAGCATATGTGGTTTTTGTGTTAGGTGCATAAGCACCATGGATTGACATTAGAGCACTGTTAACGAGATGGGAACTTGGAAGGGAGGTGGCCAGGTGATGTCGGTGATGAGCAGCGTGAGGCGTGTCCCAGGTAAATAGGCGATCAGCAGCAGCAACATGGGGGCGTAGAACACTCTGAGAGATCTGCCGCCCAGCATGAGGTTTCTGGGGTGTGATAGACCGAGATGATAGAGGTGAGAGGTGGTCAAGAGGAGTAAGCGAAGTAGATTGAGTAGGAAGAGTAGTTGGGAGGGGAGGAGGAGCAGTTAGCAAGGGCGGAGCAGTATACGATGTGGAAGGAACAGGCGTGGATGAGACTGTGGGTGGGAGTGCAGTAGAACGAGACTTGAAAGGGAAGAGAGTGTGACGATGTGTGGGGCGCGGAGGAACAGAGACTGAACCACCCACAGTCGTCTCGACGACATGTGTCGCCGGCTTAAAAGGATAATCTAAGCTAGGCATGAACAAAACAGGAAGATAGCTCATCAGGGAGCTGAAACGATGGGAAAATTTGCTTCCCAGCTGGTCCTGGTTCCCCGCGCGAGATAGGATCAGCTGGATTAGCTTGAGATTCAATATAAACAGTTTTGAAGGCAAGCAATGTCACCATGAGGATAAGGTGGGTGCGGCGAACTGCAAGGTTAAGGTAGATGTTGCCACTACGGCCCTTGTCAAGAGCACCAATAGTGCCCTGATTATTGGAATGGACAAGAAGATGAGTGTCATGAAGGCCCTTTGATTCAAGGAAAAGAGCTAGAAGCTCAATGGCGACAGTCTCAAGCCAGCAGATGTCACGACCGACAATCTTCCAAGAAGGCGATAGCTGGAAGGCAGCCCATTCACCACTGATGATGATACCAATACCCCATGACATCGAAGCATCAACATACAAGCCAAGGTCTGATAAAGGACCAAGAGGGTGAAGAGATCGGTGTACCCCTGGCAAAGTGAGCTTGACCAGCCACCAGTTCAGGTCAGTGATCAGGGAATGTGGAGGATATTTCGTCAGGAATTCGTCACCATGGAAGGTGGAGGCAAAGTTAGAGAGAGAAGGCAGATGGGAGCGACCATCGAGGTAGACAAAAGCAATGTGACAAAGACACCCATGGATCTTTTCAACATCACGCAGATGGCAAGGTCGGCCATCAAAGTCGACAAGGAACTGGAGAACACGTTGATGAAATTTATTCCTTTTTCCCTCCGGCAAGCTGACGCGCTTCCGAGGGATGTCCCAGAGGAAACCGATAAAGGTGGTGACGAAGGAAAAACGTTCATCACCCTTCTCGTCATGCCAAGGCACTCCCAATGAAGAAATGCGGCGAAGCATCTCATCGCGATCGTAGTCATAACAAAATTCGCCGTCAAGGAAAGGGCCCGAAGGTGAAGGAAACCGGAAGGCTTTCAAATCATCTTCATACTTCGGCACTGGAAAGACTCCTTCAGCCCTCCAGATATCGATGACGGCATTTGCGATCATGCCAGCATTACTGCTGGCACATGCGGCTCCGAAAGGGTGAGCATGGTTGATGAAAAAATCATCAGACATGCCTTGAACGACAAGCCAAGGTTTATGAGGTGGGAGAACAGGGCATGTGCGATGGAATTTCTTGATGTCGAGAGTGCACGCCTGCGTTCCAGGAGGCGCATGAGAAATCTGCATAAGAGTAAGGGATATAAGTAAAATGTGCAGGAAGATAATAGATTGGACAAGAACATAGACATGAGATGTGGGAGAGAGGTGCAGCGGATGCCCATAATATGTGTGAGGGCATAATACACTCAACGTGTAGAAAGGGAAGCATCATTTTTACACGTCAGAAGGGTCATCACACTCAACGTGTGGAAGAGAAGTCATCACGCTCAATGCGTGGAAGAGAAGTCATCGTGCTTGATGCACGGAAGATAATCATCGCGCTCGATGCACGGAAGATAATATCATCATGCCAATGGCACGGAACAGGAGGATGATCAA